GGGTCGGGCTGCCGGGCCTGGGGGGGCCTGAGGAGGGGATTCATTCCTCAGCCAACCTCGGTGTTAACGTTGTTCTGCTACATTCATCCGTTCGGCCCGGACGTGCAGGGTGGTGAAAGTCAAAACAACAAACTTGTGAGGAGAAGAACACCCGGTACAATTTGCCTTTGGGCTCAAACCGGGACCAAAGGGCCAGTTCTCAGCCGGCTGTGACTCGCTGGAATGTCCGTGTTTTGTGACTGTGCTGCTTTGTAGTCACGTTTTTGCCTCCTGGAAGGGCAGAGCTTCTTCCCCTTAGGTTTTCTGAGGTGCTTCCAGTTCTCAGGGGCACTACAGCACAGCAGCCTCTCGGTGCTGAGGGAAGGGTTTGTCACCAGGTCTGTCACCCAGACTGATTATCAGAAAAGCAGTTCAGTTAGTTTGGTGCCTTCTCTTTTTTTGGAACCCTTACTGAAACGTGGAACAACTTACATCGACTTCTTATAGCTCCAGAAAAGAAATAGGTTTCTTAAAAGCCATAATTTGTATTATCTTTCAGCAGGGTGATTAGAAATGAGCAATATGAGCTTTATGGTGGGACACAGGCTTGCTCAGCATTTCACCCCAGAATCACTGATACCATCTGCAGTCCTGTGGCTTGTGGGTTCTGTTCTCTCAACAGGGGAAACTTACATTCAAGTGGAGGATTTTTTGCCTTCCACTTTGCTGTTCTGCAGTCCTGTGTTATTTACAACCTGAGTTCAAAGCTCCCGTTTCCATTGCAGTTGAGCTGTCTGAAGTAGTGGGTTCTGCAGCTGTAGGAAGAGATGCCATGGGAGAATGGATTGATCTGGAAAATAAAAAAGCTGCCATGAAGCAACACAAATCCGTCATCCAAACTCATGCTGGTGAGTTCAGTTACTTTAGTACAGCTTATAAATCTTGTCTCTTTTGAAAGAGGGTGTAAACTTTTAAGTAGACTTAGATTTCATATGCAAGGTACTAAAGTTAAGCTGGGTAATTAGCCTGGTTTAATTAGTCACGTACTTAATCATAAAGTTTCTCTTTTTTTGCTTTCTGGGAAAGCAGTTTGGCTCCCATAATGCACATGGCTTTGATGCTCGTGACATAGTGACATTGTCCTAGGGCTGCATTGTCACAAGAGCTGGATAAACACCTTAAAACATGTATCCACATTTTAAGTTTAACCATAATCCTCAAAATTTTACCAGGCTGTTTCGTTTTTCTCTCTTTCTCTTCAGCTGTAAAGGTACTAGGATTGTGGCTTTTATCCTTCCAAAATAAATGTGACTTTAGAATTCATTGTCTGAAATGTTTTTGCCCAGTTAATAGATGGTGTTAATTATTGTGTTACTCCTTTGCCATGTTTTAGTTCCTTTCCCAAGCTGAAGGAGGCAGCAGGGTGCCCCTTTTGGCAAGGACAATGGAGCAGCTTTAACCACCACCAGGATGTAGGGTATGGAGGAGGAGAGAGGAGGGCAGGGGGGAAGGATCCTCTTAGCATGTCCTGGTTATACAAGCAACTGCGAGAGCAGATGGTGGGAGGCAAGTCCTGCCTAAGTCGTTCAAAAAAGTGGGTCAGAGATACTATTTTTAATTTAAAAAAGAGCAAGAAAGCTGTAGTTGAGCAAAAAAAATAATTGAAGCAGAAGGGGAATCTTCCTCAGTCTGTCTGTACATGACAAGGGAAGAAACACAAAGTTTTGTAGGTCACCTGTAAGACTGGGTAGCCAGGGAGGTCCTCCTGCCTAGGTGCTTCATGGCATTGCATTTGTGTATAAGCATCCTCAAACCATCCATACATCTTAGAAAAACATGACTTAAGATAATTTCTAGGCTATTCTTAATTGTACAGCTCATTCACAACAGTGGTGAGTCAATGTTATGGGTTCCTGATTCATCTCCAGCATTTATCCTTCTATTACTGGTTTTCCAAGACTGCCATGGAGTCAAGTGAGAAGACACTTAGTGTAGATGATCTCATCTATAGTAGAGAGGCTTCTGGTGAGCTCATTTGGGAGAGTCTTCCTAAAATACAGCAGAAACTTGTGACCATTTGATTGACAGAGAAACTGAAAAGGCCCTGATGAGCTCAGATTCACTGAAGGAATGATGAGCAGTGTCACAGTGAGGAAGTTCTCCATATCTGCAGAGTTCCCTTGAGAGTTAACCTTGGGCAGGTTTTTTCTTCTTAATCCATTGTAAGATTTTTGTGGTTCTGCACAAGGGACTGTTCTGCCTTTGGTTTATGAACTTCAATGAGTCCTTGTGGTCACTTGGTCTTGAGCAGCAAGTTCTGCTTCATCAGCTGTCCTGTCACTGGTCAGCTGAGCTCTTCTCAGGTAGATTGTTATGGTGCTTCCAACTCCTGTGCATCAAAGAGCTGACTAATTTTGGTGGAAACCGAAGGTGTCCTTCACCACACTGGAGTAACTTTACTTGTTTTAAATTCGTATTTGTGATAAACAGCCTGGTATTGCAGACTGTTTCTCCCAGTTCTGTGCTATCTGCACCAATCTTCCCAACCCTGCTGCTTGCTGGTGGGGCTGTCAGCCTGTTGGCTGAGCTGCTGCTCTCCATTGTACAAAGGCAATTGAGGTGATGATGAAAATGTTATCTTGAAGTGCAGAGATAAAATCTTTCTGAAGGGTAGTTATCAGTTTCTGCCTGTAATAATTATCTTCCCTTGAACCATTTTACATTCTTTCCTCTTAAAATAGAGTATTAGTAGAGCATAATAACAACAAAATGCCTGCTTGTTTTCCTGTTAAATCAAAGGCATTAAAGGAAAAGGAATCTCAGTAAATGCTTTCTTTATGTTTCTCCCTTCTCACATAGATAAAAAATGTCACCCTTAAACAGGGAGTTGCACACAGAAAGCAAAATCTATGTAGGTCACTTAGTAATAAACACACAGCAGGGTTTACAATGTAGAGATGGAGATGAGCTTATCTCTGTTGATACACACCAAGTGCTGCTGTCATCAGAGCAGCCCTGGATCCGGGCTGTGCTTTGTGACCTTTGGTGAAACAGGGCTCTGACTTGATGTCGGTTCTGGTGGCTGGTTTTGCTGCTCTTGTCACCTGCTCCTGCTTTATTCCTCTCCAATGAAAAGGATGAGGGAATGCATGATTTGGGGCAACCAAGCATCAGCACAATGTCCTTCTGGAGCAGTAGTTGGCCCTGGCAGGGATCCTCTGTAGACAGACGTGCAGTGACATTTCAGTCTGCCACCACAAGTGGAGAATGAGCATTGGAGCGTGTCTGGCTCACAGATGGAAAGGAATAAATATGTGAAAGAGACAAGAAATTAAACCAACCACTCAAGCAAGTGCATAGACCCTCCTGTGTGCATCTGTCTTCCCTCAGCTGTAGGGCAGGTGAACCTCCTGTACCTACAAGAAAATCTGAAAGTGTAAATAGTCCTTGAGCAGTGGAAATATTTTAACTTTTGAGAATTTACTGTGTGCTGAATTTTCTCATCACTTTTTGTTCTTGTTTCAGTACAATTATGGTTTTTGGTCCTTGATAATTTTTATTCTTTCTAAGTGTCTTTACTGTTAAACATGAATTAATATTAAACAATAACATTTAGAAATCTGTTGTGCAGTCAGGTTTAAAAACTGCTGATCTGTTGGCTAGTGCTTCTTCTGATGTCTCTAGGAGCAAATGAGCACAGGGGTGGGTGTGTGGCAGCACACAACTCATGCACTATTAGAAACCAATTCTTAATTAAAAATACACATTTGTATGTCAGGAGAAACAGAAGTGAATTAATTAGGCTGGGATTAAATAATCTCAAAATGTTCAGCAGACCCCAGGTGTTTTACTTATTCATTTGTGTGCTCAACCTAATATATACAAGTGCTTTTTTCTAATTTTTTTCCTCTGCAGTAGTAACTTTTCAATCTTCTTATTCATTCTATGTGCAGCATAAATGAGTTTGCCACTGCTTTATTAGTGCAATTAAGCCTAGGAGTGGCTCATGATTTACACTGTTTTACAGGGATTTTATATTGGTATGTTAAGTAAAATGACCCCCTGACTGAGGTGGTGGTTTCCACTCAGGTGTTTATGGCTCTACCCAAGAAAAAAATGCTATTAAATAGCATCTTAAAGGTATTTTAATATTAATCTGTCTACAAAGTATCACTTTAGTCACTGAAAATGAGAAAAACAGGCAATACGAGGGGATTGTTTACATTAAATAAATGAAATAATAATACTTTGCAGCTAAATGGGCAGTGTGATTTGTCTCTGAGTGAAAACAGACTGACCACATCTTCCCTGTGTGTTCACTATGAGCTGTCTGCCTGTTTTGGCTGTCAGGGAGCAGCCCTGAGAAGGAAGCTCTGTGTTGGCATTAGCCATGTGCAAAGGTATTAATGAGACTTCTAGTAATGCTTACTGTAATGTTTTGTCTCCTCCTCATTTCTCCTGTAATTACACACATTGTAGTGTTTAGTTGAGCTTCAGTAGTTGCATAAAAGGGAAGTCTGTGTAGTAAAAGTAGAGAGGAGCTCTCCCCTGTTTAAATAGTTGGAAACAGGGGTACTCTTAAGGACTTGTGGTGCCACACATCTTCATTATATGCTCATGGAATAGGGCAGTTGTAACCCAAGTGCTCCTGTTAGCTCGTCTGTATCGATTGGCTGTGTCTAAGCCTGTGGAAAATCTCCCACTAAGCACTGAATGAAGTTGTAAAGCCATCCTTGCCTCCCCATCTGAAGTATAATCTTTCAGTTTTTATTTATTATTACATGCCACTGGGAAGGATAAGAGAAGATAAAGAGGGAAAGGTATTGTTTAAGCAAGGTCGTAGAAAAATTTAGGAAATGATCACTGAAGGTTTAGAGGAAAGTGTTTTCTAATATATATTTGCATTTCCAAAAAATCAGAAAGCTCAACTGTGGGTTGTAGGATATATTGGGTATATTTGTGGTGTTTTCCAGAGTTGCTCCAATAGGCACAGCCTCTCATTTTTCAGTCTTACAAGTTGCTTCAGGTACTAGATGAGTAGCCCTCCTTAAATGTTAATTAATTTTGTTTTAGCAAGTTGCAGGTAGGAAGAAGCCAAGTCTGTGTTAGGCAGTCACTGAAAGGCAGTTTATTTAGTGTCATAGTATTTAAGTACTTGCTTTACTAATATACTTGTGCTGCATCATTAATTAGCCTAATTCTTTAAGCATCTTATCTCCTCCCCTCTTTGGAGACTATTCACAGAGGCTCCTACAGTTACTGTTGAAATTCTGCACTGCTCTTATTACAGTCATTGCCTCTAGGCTTGACATTGGGTTTGATTTTTGTATTCAATAGATAATATGAGGTTGCAGAGATATAAGACCAGTAATTCTTCTCTTTCCCAGATACAGTAATTGACACTTTTGTTGATTCATGCCTGACAGAAATGACTGGATTATTAGCTGGAGAACTGGATGCTCTCCACTCCTTTTGCACCACGAAAATAAGTTGGATGCGTCAGCAGGGAACTGGTGGCAAGTCAAGAAAGCTGCAGCATGGATTGACAGCAGAGAAACTGCAGACAAGTGACTTGAACTGCATTGTTCCTGATCACCTAATGAACAGAATCCACCTGAAAAATATCAGGGAGACTCTTAAACAGGTACTACAAGAAAGTAAAAATGTAGGTTTTGCCTCTGCTTTTGGGAGGACCCCTGGGGAGAAAAAAGCACCTTAATGTATGGATCACATCGGGCAAATCTTACTGCTGCCACACTCACATGTTTGCTTGATAGCTCAAGACTTATCTTTCTCATCCTTTTGTTAGACACTTGTCACTTGTCCTGGTTTGAGCTGTGACAACACTACTGCAGGACTGCTGCTAGTAAATAATCAGAGAATTACAAAATACTGTCTGTGAGACAGTGAGGATTAGTGTGACTAGCAGGGCTGGCGTGGCCAGTTGCTGCTGGCCACAATAAGCCTGGATCAGCTGAAGAAAAAAGCCTTGTTTCCTGGTTAGATTTGCACCTGCTATTTATAGAAATGTTATGCATCTTAATTGATTGTGGAGTCTTTGCTACTCTAGAATTAAAAGTATTCCAAAGGCAAAATATCCCCCCTGCTCCTAGATTTCACAGACATTGGGTAATATTAAGAATTAAAACATGCCCAGTAGAGCTTTGGTTATGTCAGTTCCTTTATTAACAACCATCAGTATCATCTTTGCACAATTCAAAGTGCTTTTCTTTTCCACTAGCCAAGTGGTTCCCGCCCCCCCCCAGCACAGCCATTCACTTCAGCTCTGCATCAAAGAGTCTCAAGGTTGGTAGTTTGGTTGTGTTGTTGGTTTTTTTTTGGCTAATGAACTTGTTTTCTTGCCTTGTGCTTGCAGGTGGATTTGAGTGTGTGGTTACATGCATTTGAGTAGTGGCTGCACAGGTGCCTTTATCCATAAATCTGGCCTTGGCAAATGTCTCTGCTTTGTTTGAAATCAGAGCAGAATGTCTGCAGCTGGGGAAGTGTTTCTGACAAAACAAAAAATGAACTTCAAATAGTAATTACAATCATTTGTTTTGTCTCTATCCTGTTTGTTGGCTTTCACTTATTGCCATGCAGCACAGCACAGGGATCCCAGATTCCTCTGCAAGGCCTGTGCCAGGTGAGCAGGATAATGCTTTTAAAAGCTTTTCTGGCCTGATGGTTATTTCAGGCTTCCTCTTCATTGTTTTGAAATTTCAGCAGTCTGCATTCCTTTGTTGTTAACCAACCCACCATCCACATTCTGTAGGGTCTTTACATTGTGATATATTACATTTTCTAAGTAATTTTGACTATGTGGCCACTCATTTTGTGGCTGGTATTTAAGACCATTTTTTGACCATTACAGTTGCTGTGGACTAAGTGAGTAATGTCCATTCAGCCTCCAAATGAGGGCAACTTTGCCTATTACAAGAAGAAATAACATGTTACACCTGTGGTTTCTTGTGATGCTGTGGTTCTGAGATACAAGTAGATAATGTTAAATGAAGCTGAGTTACCAGTGCTGGAAGGGGTAACACATGGGAAGAAGCAAATGTATTTAGTGTGGAAACATTCAGACAGGCTTGTTAAGATGATGCTGTGATAAAGATGATGAAATAATTTACAGCTGCCTACAAAGCAAATTTTTGTCCTTAGCCAGTATCTGCTTCTGTATTTTTATGGATTGCTGTTCATGGAGTGGCCACCTTGCCAGGACAGACCCTGCCCATTGCATCCAAGTCTCATCTTTCAGGTGACAGAAGCTGAAATCCATGACTCGTCCGTGTGCCCCGACTGCCAGAAGAAGGAAGCAGAGTTGGCTCAGGTTGCCTTTCTCAGACGGAAGAAGGTTCTCATGGAAAGTGCTTTAATACAAGAAAAACTGGAAGAACAGATTTACTCCAGAGTAAGCAAATCTTGTTTTAAAAAAAAAGCAAAACCAACTTGTGGTACATTTTATACACCCTGTAAGTGCAGAACTTGTAAGCCAGATTTCCCCTGGTTTATGGCAACAAGATCAGATTGACCTGAGTGTAGTGCAAGTCCAAACAGGATTTGGCTCCATTTCATTAGTAAAATGCTTGGAACAAACATACTGATCAAGTCATTTGAGCTTGCTTGATGTCTGTAAGCTGAAGGTCTTTCGCAGGATGTCCTAGAATTGTTTTGGGTTCATCTTGGTTACTTTTGCACAGTTTGTTGTCTGATGCTGTCCCAGACAAAATGGTACATCAGAGAATGCTGTGAGTGCAGGGAGCTGTGTCCATTCTAGTCTTCCTTACTCATCCTTAGGGAAGAACCTGCTTTATGGGGCAGATCACTGGCCACACTGTTCCACAAGGTTTTTTACACAGGATGCTTTGATGATCCGGCAATATTGTGCTGCTGAGTTACTTCTGAGGAGCTGGATGTAGCTGCCATGGTGGACCTGTGATATAGGACATGAGAAATGGCAGGAGTGCAAAACTAAGTAATCTCCATGTTTCCCTTTTATTTCAGGATGTGCTTACAATTCTAGGAGAGGCACTCAGAAGCTTGCCCAAACCTTCAGAGGATCCCAGGAACTTATGGCAAAGGCTGAAAGGTAAGAAAATGCAGGGCCTGAAAGTAGCAAACACAACTTCAGGACATAAAGACCTGTGAGTGTCTTCTGTGGGTCATGCACTGAATGCCAAGGACTGTGGATGTAACCTCTTTTGTCAGTGATGAATTGGGTGGTGGTTTAATATTCCTGCAGGTGGAACCAGATATGCCCAGACTCTGGTGGCTGGGTTATGACTCAACTCTTCATACTTCTCCTTGCAAATGTTGCAATATATTGTAATCCAGCAATAGATGTTTTTCAGGCACTGAAGCCAACGTGTTCTATTATTAATCTGACAAGTAATAAGTATTGTTTTTTGTGGGATTGCTTGTGGGATTTGAGAGCACCTCACAGCTGCTTCTATCCTTAAGAAGTAATTCCATTTTTGGGGGCAGGGAGGTGTAATTACTGGATTTCAGCTAAATCTTTCCCCACTGTCTCATGTTAAATTGAAAGTGAGAGCTCCAGGTGGAGGAGAAAGAGAAGGTTGCAAAGTAACTGTAGAAGGGAATAAAATGAAATGGGGTATTTTTAGAGCTGAAATAATGAGACTATAAGAGAAATTAATCAGAAAGACTGAGGATGCCAACAGAAATGATAATAAATTCACAGAACCTGTACAGAACCTGTACAGGATAGGTGTCTAGGAAGAAAAAACCCAACATAGATGAAAATTGGAACAGGTTGCCCAGTAACATTTCTGACCATTTTTTGAATATGCTTTGGAATGGGGTGCAATTGTGATTTTTAAAGATGGCAAAGTCACTGTCTTTCAGATTATATTATCTGGGCTAAAGATTGCTATTCTGTCCACATACAAATAAAATGGGTTTATGCTGGGGATCTCAGTGGCTTAGACAATGAAATAATCTTCACTGTCACCTCAGGAGATGTGAGCTGATCTGTGGGCACAAACAGAGCCCACCTTCTTGCTTGCTGCTGGCAGGAGGAGCTCCTTACAGTGACCTTGTGGCTAGTGGACTTGGGTGACTCACAGAGTTTCTGACTCTCATCAGTTTCCACTTCCCTGACTTCTGTGCATTTAGATCCCTGAAGGCTGTGGAGATCTTAAAGGAATATTCTTATCTGTGAATTCTTAATTAATGCTTGTTACAAAGAAAATGGGATTAAATCTTCGTGTTGCATTTCATTTTCCCATTTCAGGACAACATGTATTGTTGAAGTTGGTTTTATGTTTTATTCCCATGTAGTTACTTTCTTTTGTATGCTGTCTATTGTTGATAAGAGTTCCTGAAGGCTGTTGAGCCTTTTGTTTTCACTTCCCTGAAATCCATGGAGAATCTGAAAAGAAGTTTAAGGATAGAGATTGAGCAGGCCCACCTGTGTTAGTGAGTATCTGCCTTCTGGTGCTTAAAAACCTTCCTGCAGGGATTTCTCTGAGTAGGTCAAGCCCCAGATGAGACCATAAGGCAGCCCCAAGGTGTTCAGAGCTCGTTGTCCTCACTGCTTCCTCAGCACTTCATTCTGGTTTCTTGGGAGTAGCAGGTTCCATAGTCACTCAGAATCATTCCCCTAAGCTTTAGCTTTGAATTGTCACTGCAGATTACAGAGAGACCTGCATCATGAGTAAGCTGCTGCTTGTTTCTTCCTCTGGCTCTGTAATCCTTTGAAATGTTTAAATCCCTTTTAAATATCCTACCATCAATCTTGTAAACCTTTTCTTTTTAGATACTCTTTCCTTGCTCCTTATTTGCAGCCCCTGTTTCTCTCAAGTCTTTGGAAGTCTGCAGTAATCTACTTAACATGAGGCAAAGGGTGCCCAGTATCCCACGGGACACAGAAACAGAAGTGGTGTCAGATACAGGAGTGGTGGTCAGGAATTGGATCCTTTGTAATGTTGGTGTTTGTGCCAGTGCCCGTGGCTTTCAGCCCTTATGAAAACAGAGTGAGTTCCAGGACTCTAAATATAGATTATTTTAATAGCTAGAAAGGTGCTTTGGTGTTTTTGTTTTTGGTACTTAGACACTTTCTAGAAATACAGAAATATTTCTTTTCAACTCTTATGTCAGACCTTTATGTAAATAGATGGAGCTGTGAGCTGTTTGGGCTAAGGCATCTGTCTGTATTTGTGAAATGCACAGCACAGTGGCTCTGCAGTTCTTGTTTGTTTGCATAAATACTACAAAGATAATTCAGATCACTCCTGAAAAATCAAAGCATGTTTTGCCTGTGCCTGTTGTGCTCACATTGCTACTGCTCACTACAGTGCTTTAATTTTTTATGAAGAATGACTGTGAGATCCGAGTGTTTGTCTCCTATTTTCTTGTAGCACCTAGTAGGGCTGTACAATGGAATGAATGTATGAATCTCTGAATAATTGATTTCATAATCGTGTGGTGTTTGAGACTAGAGATCCAAAAATTCTACCACGGAGGACGTAGGGAAAAAAGAAAGGTAGATCTTACCTCTTCCTTTCTCCTCTCACTGTAGCTCCCCCCCCAGCCCTTTCCTCAGCAGTAAATTTTTCTCTTGATCCAAAGAAACACTACAACTATGATCAAGAGGTACTTACTCATCTGCTGCCTTGTTTGTGCTTGCTGGGGCATAGAAGGAACGAGGCAGGTCAAGGGTGGTTCATGTGGTAGCACAGAAACAAGTCAATCTGTCTGTTAAAAGTACTTTGGAGCTCCTGGTTTCCAGCCCTCATGCCACACTCAGTTACATTATTAATCTTTTGAAGGATTTGTGATGTAGTGGAGTTCTTTGCTTTGAACTTTGTGCAGGTACAGAAGGGTTTTTTATGTACATTGCTTTACATCATGTGTATCCTGATAACCAGCTCCCTGGTGATGTACTTTGTAACTGGCCCTTTGGATAACTTAGATTTCTGTCATTGTTATTAGAACTGTGGGCTGCAGGAATGTAATTTCTTCTTCTATTTGCCCTGGCTTTGTCTCTTAAAAAAAAATAAATAAAAGTGCACCTGACTTCACACTCAGTCATTCCTCAGTCTTGCTTCTAACCATCTGTTGGGCTGGGGCACTTTGTGTTTGTTTCTCCTCTAGGATGAACTTCCATCTTGTTCACAATAGGCTCCTAGCACCTGTTTGGGAATATGAAATCTTGGTACTGTTACCTTGCCTGGACATGAAGTGGGAACAAACACTTCTGAGTACTGATTTCCAGCTACTTGTGAGATATGTAGTCCCAGAATGATTGGAAGGGACTGCTGGAGGTCACCTTGTCCAACCCCCTGCTCGAGCAAGTACCTGGAGCAGGGTGGGACCTGACCCCACTGTTCCCATTGTCCTTACATCAATCTAACATCTTTTCTCTGCAACTGTTCTACAACCTGAAATGCTTCAGCCCCCCTGGGGGCTGCTGCCTTTTCATAAACCCATCTCCCAGGTGTGGTTTTGTTGTGTGCCAAGAGTCGGTTATTTTTCGTTTGTCTTTTTAACCAGAGCCAGTTTGATCAGCTTCCAAGGAGAGGAGCTGACCCCACTGATTGATTCCTACTGGGAGCTGGACAAAAAGTTTCAGCTGGTGGCACTGAGGACAAGGTTTTGCTGCTGGAAGGGGTCGTGTACCCCTGTGAAGCTGTGAGCTGACACAGCACCCAGAGCCTCCCTCAGTACAAACCTGATTTGTGCCTTTCAGTGCAGTGATTCCAAATCATACCCACACGTTCCAGCAAGAGCTGGAGTGTTTCCAGCCATGTATTTTTAAAGCATTTTGAAATGTACTCGCATTCCTCCAATTGTAATTTTATTACCATTCAGTGTGATTTTCAGAGAGTGACTTTTTATTGTCCCCACTCAATAGGGGCTAAGGTAGATGTGCAGATTGTTACTGCCTGCAACAGAGCTGCTGTTCTAAAAGCCACTGTGGTTAAAAATGTTTCTTAATTTTGTGAATACATCTATATTAATCTTATGAATATCACATTTGCATTGTTTCTATACAACTTGCTAGCTCTTCCTTTTTCCTCCCCAGCTGATTCTGAATCTTTGCCTGCACTGACAGCAGCACATCTTTAGTGTGAGGGTGGGGAGACCCTGGCCCAGGTTGCCAGGGAAGCAACCTGGTCTAGTGGGAGGTGTCCCTGCTCATGCAGGGGGTTGGATCTCAATGATCTTTATGGTCTTTTCCAACCCAAACCATTCTAGGATTCTATGACCTGCATGGGGAGAGGCTGGGCAGGGAGGGGCAGTGCACCCCCTGTCAGCAGGGTAGCAGGTCCTCCAGCTTTCTAATTACCTATAGAATTGATCAGATGAAAGAAAACATTTTCCAGCTTCTGGACATGGATAGTCACTGCTTATTTATTCATTTATTTATTTTGTAATAAAATAGTACTGTTTGCTCTCACATAGACTGGTGTGTATGATCCATAAATGTTTGTAAAATATCTCTGTAGCATGTAACAGAACCCCTTAAAGTATTCCATGAAATTTCATATTTTTTAGATGATAGCACTTTAAGAACATTTACATCCTTCATCTTGACATTTTAAAATAGAACATTTTTTGCCTACAGAAATAAGTTTACAGCATCATCACAGTATTATAGCTTGTTTTAAAGTACAGACAGCATAAATGGCAAGTGCAAGCAAGCTATATACTTGAGCAGGGCTTTTTTTTGTAATTTTACATGTTTTCTAATTTTTAAAACTATTAGGTATATTAATGATACATCCATCACTTGGTTAGAAAATATTACTTAGATATGCTACTCACAATAGAGCTGTCACTCTTCTGTGACATAATAATACAGGCTATGAAAATAGAAACACACTGTTGTTTGCTTGGTTTAAAAATAATGACAAGCCCAGTTAAAAAAGTGGGCAGGGTTTGTTCTTTCCTTGGGGAGTTGGGTTCCACCAATGTTGCATGTCCTTAATCCACTTATGGGATGCTGCCAGCACCTCAGCATGGAACCTTCTGTGAAGGAAACATGTTTACCACCTCTGGGTTAATCTGTGGCTTGGTCCTGCACCTTCCCACATGGAGCTTTTGCTGAAGACACGGGGAGTCCTTCTGCTCCAGGCTTCCAGGACCTCTGTGAGTCTGATTTACTTAAGACTCCAACTGGATTT